AGTTTCTATCACCTCTGAAGTTGAAGTTGATTACGCTTTTCCCTCCCTGGCATTTTTACCCCAGCTTGTCTATAGAGCCACACAACCCAGCCTGACATTTGCTCAGCAAACCAGTCTCTGCTCTTTTGTCCCTTTTCACAAGACCAGAGCTCTGCTCGTAGTCGCACAAGCAGTTTTCCTCTTTACACCTTCCTTTAAAGCATCTTTCTTGGGCATGCCTGGTTAGAGTCACACAGATGAGGTCTCACAAGGGGGCCTCTGATGATGCACAAAAGTTTCCCCAAACCAGTTTTCAAAGAGCTCCACTTTACATGTGATCTCAATACTTCCATGCTTTTGAGGTCCAGTTGCCCACATCACCTTCACCTCTCCCACTTGGGAAAGAGAGGCATTGGGATTTCTCTTTCCCAGGGATGCAACCCGTCTTTCAGCCAAATTAATTGCTGTTTTCCAGCAGGACCTTGCAGGCAGACTGTGACATGTCCAGAGAGCATCATATTATCAAGGGTAGATCTTCCCAGGCAAATCTGATTGCTTGCTTTCTTGTCATTTATAAAACATGTTAGCAGATTAAAATAAAGTTTCTGGGCAAATCATACAGAATTGCTTGTTCAGTGGAACACCCTCAGGTAGGATGAACGTGAAGAACAGGGGCAAAGGACTGAGCTGGAGGAGCAGACTGAAGTGCATTGTGGCAGGCACTTTATGGAAAAAAATGGCAAACTAGAGGGAATTCAGAAATAAGGATGAAGTTAAGCTGGAGAGCTGAGTGGACTGGCTCACCTGGGGAATGGTCTTGAGAAGAGCCTTGAAGAGTTGCCTAAGATTTTTTCCAAAATCCAGGCTGCATTTTTTTTATAGAGAATGTGGTCAAGAAGCATTGGACTGGAGAGGGTGATGGGGCCTTTTCCAGGCGCTTTTCTTTTTCTTTTTCTTTTTTTTTTTAATATATTTTAAATAGATATATTTTTTAAGTTTGTAAAGAAAAGACTGCAGCAGCAAATCCTTTTGTACTGCTTCTGTTTAAAACCCTTGCACCGATGGATGACTTACCTGGCTTGCTGCTGCAGATTTGTCCAGATAAATCAGCAGGTGTACCCAACTCACCCAGCCCCTGTGGGAGTGATGCTGGCCAGCCCTGCGTCCGCCAGGTATGTCGCCTGCTTCTCTGACCCAGCAGATTTTAACGGTGGAAGCATTTATAAGTTTGCTGAGAGGAATCCCTGGTGTGTGTGTGTCTCATGGCTCAAGAAATGAATCTACACACATGTACGTGTAAGCTGACTTACTCATTTACTGATTAACCTCCTAATTAATTTTGTTTAATTGAGAAGATATTGTTGCCAATCCCCTATAGTGCTTATGACCCTTGCAGTAGTTTGAACTCTTCTTCATCCTTTGACCCTGCAGCCTTCCAAACACAGGTCCCTGAGCTTGATATTGCCAGCTCCTTCTTTTCAGGACGCTGAATCTTTCCAGATGTGAATGAGGTCTGGGTCTCCTTTCATGGTCTGTGTGACCATGAGATGGAGCTCCTGGCTGTCTCCATCCTGCCAGAGGCTGCGACCCAGGGGAGGGATGTCCTGTCCCACATTTGTGCTTTGCATCCTCTAAGGCAACAGCAGAAAGAGCTCAGCTAGATAGAAATCATGTGGCAGACCAATTCTGGCCACTTTGACCTAATTGAGACTAATTTTGTCTAAGTCTCCTTCTTCTGCAAAGCCAGGGTTTGCCATTGAAAATCCCCTGACCAAAGAGGGCTGGCACTGTGTGGTGAAAGGGCTGCTGAAAGCAGTGGTGTGCTCCCCTGAAGGGGATGAGAAGAGCTGCACCGAGCCTGGTTGGGTGTCCCCAGGGAAGGTTAGGTGATGCTGGGAGCAGTGCATCCTGCCTGGCCAGCATCAGGCAATGGCAGTGGAGGCAGACCCTGTAACTGGAGAATAAATCTGCTGCCTGGCAGGCTCCAGGCAGCGCACCTAGCACAGGCACTTTCCAGCCCCAACTTGGATCAGGACTACGAGACTCGGGTTGGAAGAGTCTGGTCTCCGAGTCAGGCAGGAGGTTCTGCACTGTATTTTAGTTGTTGGGCATTGTGTAGATTGTCTGTTGCCGA